TTTAGGTCTATATCCATTAATTATTGCAAGAGCAAAATAAGAATCAGAATCGAATTCATGATCATCAAAGGGAGTATCGCCAGTAACCACATCCCACATTATAATACCTAAACTATACACATCTGATTTTGTTGTATAATCTATTTTACATAAAATTTCAGGTGCAAAGTATGGGAGATTCCCATATATAGTATCTCCAACTTGTCCACTAAATCCTAAATCACTAATATGCCAGATATTCATCTTGTGAACCATATAAAATATTTCCAGAGTGTAAATATTTTTGTAATAATGTAATTGATTGATAACTATCTTTTAAAAAATATTTTAAATCATTCTCATAATAATTTAAAACTAACATATAATCTTGGGTGGTTAGATCTTTGGCTAGTCCGTAACATTTAACAAGAAATTCTGAAGTATTATCAATGTAATTAATATTTCTGAAATATCAAACAGATTATAATAAATACAATAATAATTTAACTTACTTCTCGAAACCAATTCACTTTATCATTATTTGAGTTATTCAATCTTTTCAAAAAAATCTTTTGTCTTCCAAATCTTTTCAATGTTTGTCTTTTAGAATTCCATTCATCATAGCTTAAGTTTCTGTGTAAACGGTAGCATATCCTCCTTCTGCCAGATGTTCGACATCCTCAAATTGATCATATTCATCCCATTCAATTACTTTAGAAGGTGTTACATTTTTTGAATTAATTTGTCAATTTCATTATTTCCAGATGTCCAATTTCAAAAATTATTTTCTAAATATTTAAGAATATTTGATTGCTTGATGCCATTTCTGACAACTGTTGCATTGTTGTTTTTCTACAGAATTATTGCCAATTCTACATTCATCATATGATTCCCTTAATTTATTAAGTAAAAAATTCTTTTCATTTTCTGTAAGAAGACGAATCATTTTCATAAAAATCTTTCATATATTTTTCATTGCTCAGTAATTGTTTTATGAGTACTAATGTCTAAAGAATAATATGCCTTATAATGAACACTTAATGATTTCTCATTCAATTTTTTGAGTAGCCATTTCCATTTAATTTAAAGTTAATATAATTAAACAAATAAATAATTAATTAATATGATTTATTATTTATAACTTTATTAAAAATAAAAATATATTATAAAATTACCGTGGGTTAAGTTTAATTTAATCATATATTAGTGAATGGAATATATACGTGCGCAAAAAAAAAAAAATTTTTTTTTGCAAGGCAAATGATATTAAACTAAATTCAACGAGTTACGTAACAATAATATAAAATTTTGTGGGCGCAGAAGGAGTAAAAGATAGAGTGTAAACGAGCAATTATAATATTTTGATAGCGGACAAGTTATTAGTAAAATATTAAAATAATTTCCAGATAATTGTCATATGACTTTGCATTCAAACGAAAAAAAAATTTTAAATAAACAATCATTACTACAAAAATGTCCAATGTGGACTAAACAAGTAAATATTTATAACAAAATAGTATTCATTATCGGTGTCAATTATAAGCGTATTTACAGTATTTACCATTATTGTCATCTTTATTTTTATTTGATTAAAACATTATTATTTTTTTTTTCATTTTCATTTTCACGAATGATATCATATTATATTATTCTAGATGTAAAAGAAGAGAATAAATGAAAGAATGAATGAGAAATGTATAATAAAGAAAATGAAATGAAATCAAATAAGAAAGAAAAATGCAAATAAAAGTAATTAAATAGAAAGGAAATGAATTAATTTAAGAAAAATATTTTTTTTATAGTACTAAATCTTTTAGATTCTGAGTTAATATCAAAAGAAGAATAATAATAAGTTAATTTATAAAATAAGGTTAATAAAATAATGAATAAAATAATAATTAATTTTTAATTATTTACCTGTAAAGCTACTCAATATATGCCTTAATAGATACAGTAAAATGAATATACATTACTTGTTTAAAATTTCCATTTCATTTGTTGATCCTATAAATATGCATAATTATATATGATATCATAATTTGTATATTTCGGGTATTACTGTTATATAAAATTATTTATTTTATTTTTTCCTTACCAGTATAATCAGGAAAATATTTTCGTACAGGCAATACTTTAATCTTTTCTCGAAAATCAATTTTATTTAAGAATAAGATCATTGAGGTGCCTACAAACCATTACGAATTACATATTAAATCAAATAACATTAAATGTATCTTTAGTGTGAGAGAAAAAAGACAAGAAAGAAAGAAGTAATGAGAAAGTGAAAAAAAGAATAGAAAAGAAATAGAGAAAAAAGATATTTAAAATAACTATTAAATAATTGTTAAATTATTAATTTAAACTACGGCATCTCTACCTTCTACCAGCCTATCAGACATTGATCATATCCACTTTGCCCATTACATCAAACATTCTATGCAAAAAGAAAATAATAATGATAAAGAGAAATGAGAAAGAGAATATTATTTAATAAAGAAAAGGAATTATATAAGATGTATAATAAATAGCAATAGAAAATACATATAACAAAGAGATTTTACTTACCGATAGATAAGTGGATCGAAATGAGATATCGTTTCAACAACGCCAATAGGTTTCATTCGTGTATGTAAAATATATCTTGATCCTTTTGAACATAATTTTGTGAAAGGTTTCTATCTAAAGATACAAAGAAACTAAAAAAAAATATAAATTGATTAATTAGATTAATTAATAAAGTAATAATTAAGCGCGTGCAATAAAAAAATATTCTGCGTAAATTTTGATAACAAATAACAAACTAAATGATATTATTATCTGCTCATAATAATTTCAATGGTTCCAAATATAAAATTGAAATAGGTTCCCTTTAGAGATATTCAATTGTTATAAAAATTATTTTAAGAATAATAAATAAACAGATAAATTATCATAATTAAAATAATTAAAAGAATATTTTTATCTAATTTTGAATTCTTGTTGGAAACTATAGAATTACATCAGGAAATTTTATGAACCGGCGGTTTACGTCTAAAAAAATTTCATTTGCCCTTCTTGTTTAAGACATCAAATATACTCATTAAATAAAAAATTTTTTCCATTTCCTATAAAAGATGAATCATTTTCAATCATATTTTTTCGACATTCTTGCTCCGTAATTTTTTATGAATATTGGTGATGTTTAGAGAATAAAATGTTTTATCCCAAACACCATTTTCTCATTATATTCAATTTCTTGAGTAGCCATTTCTTATTCTATTTAAAGTTAATATAATTTAATGAATAAATTAATATAATATACTGTTGATTATTTATTTAAAAATAAATACATTATAAAATAGATTATTGGTGATTTGCGCAGAAAATTTTACTAGAAAAATGATGTTAAGAAAACCAAGTGGAATATTTTACAATTTATGGTGAACGCAAAAGAGGTAAAAATTAGAGTGCGAGATTTTAAACGAGCAATTAATGGAGTTTAATATTAAATATTACTTATTTCCCGAGTAGCGGGGAATAAGAGATAAGCTGGGCTTGAAGGGCCCAGCTGACCGGAATTTATTAGTTTATGTCTTATATGACATTATGATGGAAATTTATGACATGTCATTGATTCAAATCACAAGTTTATTTTAAAAATTTCCACACTTCTGCTCCAACCTCCTACAACTGTAGTTTCGTTACCAATTATTTTAAAAATGAATTTAAATTTCCAAAAGGATTTTTTTTTTGCTTGCATGAAAATTTATTTTAACAAAAAAAAATAAATAAATAATACTTATTTGTAATTTCATTATAGGCTTCTGAATTTGTTAATAATGATATTGTTCAAAAAGATTCTTTTAATTTATATATTTAATATTTTATAATGATACACTTTTAATATAACAATAATAAATAAATAATTATTTAACCTAGTCAAATTCTATTGACCATTTTAAACATGTTACTGATGATCTTATTAAAGAAAAAATTTCATATGGTTCTGTTAAAAACACATTAAAGAATACTGATAATTGGGTTAGAACATTAAATGAATATTATTTTTCTATAGATTTTTAAACTATGATATATGCAGTTGACATAGCTAGAACTGGAATTAATTAAGTTCTTTATGTCTCTTCATCATAAAGATAAGCAACTATGTGCCCCATCTTTTATCTCTAACTGTTATTGTTGAATTGTTCATTACTTGTATGATAATTCATTAATGAATCCACGGCCTAATATATTTGACAATACCTGTTATGGAATTTTGATAAAATTGCTAGATGGCAAGATCAAAAAAGTTCAGGATAATAAGTTCTCACTCAGTAAAAAAAGCTGATTCATTGTCTTATGAGGAAATTCATCAGATTTTTAAATCATAATAAGTTGCATGAAGATAACCCTCAAGCTATAACTAAACAAGTATACTCTAGTTTTGTTCACTTGGAGGATTTCGTGATGGAGATTCACAAAGGCTTAAATTATCTCAAGTAAATACAAGGATCAAAGGTCTTAGAATATTTAGTGCATGAGAAAAATAAGGCAGTGCTTTAAAAATCTTGTTAATTCAGGGCATGTAAATGAAATATCATCTGACCACCAGGAAAATTTACACCTGTCGCTGATATTTTATATTATATAAATAAATGATCCTCTGGTTTTGTGATATAAGAATTTTTCTTGTGTATTACATCTCAAAGAAATAACTTATGTGTAGTCTGGTTTGTTAATCATCCCCTTGGAAGACATTCACATGAATTAATGATTTGTGAGATTTGTGGAACTACAGGAATATCAACATATTTACTAATCATTCTTTGCGACAAAAAGCTATTCAGTTTCTTACTCGATTAAAATGTTACTGTAGATTGGATTATGCCATATTCTGGCATCAGTCTCTTGGAAGTTTAACATCATATCAAACTTTCACACCTGAAATTATACAAATATGTGTCATAAATTATTCCCAGTGGAACTGCTGGAGATTTTAAAAATAATAAAAAAAAGGTAAAATTAAAAGTATGTTCGCATTTATGTATTTGAATTTTTCTAATTCTTTTTCGGATAAAATTAGAGCTCCTTTCGCCCCATTACCAGTGAATCTGCCTTCTCATCCTTGTAGCCATTTAAATTCAACCCATATCAATGATTTGGAGAAAACAAAATCAAGGTAAATTATGTATTTCATCATATCCTTAACAGTACAATTTAAGAGACTGGATCAATAATATTTTAACCATTACTTCAATTATAAGATGTCTAGATCTACAAGAAGGTTATGAAAAAGTTATTAATAATTGTCAAAATCTTAATGATGATATTAAAATTAATAGTGATTTGCAATTCGTATTTGCCATAAATAATAAAATAATTATGTCATTGCCGGAAATAACAAACACATACATAGTTGGGAAAACTACTGCATGGTTGGGGAAATAACATGTATACAATAAACTTGTGATCTGAATCAATTATAATAAGTCATAAATCCCATCATGCATTAGTCAAATACAGACGTGGGATAAATAACAAAATTTATTTTCTAATTTAAATAAATTTCCAGAAAATTTAATTATTTAAAAATTTCCATATTATTTTTGATTTATTTAAATAATAAATATATAATATGTTCATGCCCATTAGATAACTTTAAACAATCGTTCCACATGATTGTAATAGCCAAAGACCTAAACTATATCTAACTAGTAAGAGAACCTCTCCTTAATAAAGTAATAATTTCTGATTTTCAAGTAAATATGATCTTCAATGCTTACATCATTCTTTCAATCCACATGAGCTTATTAAATAAATTGACTTATTATCATTTTTAACAATATGTATTTAATTATCATAATAATTATTAAATAATGAATTAAAATATGGAAGATATATTAGCAGCAGCATAACGTGAGATTTAATGAGGATAAGGATAAATATACATATATAAAAAAAATTATTTTATTAATAAATAAATAAGAAATTATTTTATTAATAAATAAATAAGAAATTATTTAATCAGCGAGTTTCTTTTTGAGAGATATCAGTAAAGAATGAAAAGAAATCAAAACGAAAGGAATAAAAAGATATGACTGAGAAAATTGTGTAATACTGTATATGAATTGTACTTTCCAACATCAACGCTAAAATGACTGTTATGTTTGTAAGTACATAAATAGATCAATCCTTGATTTCTTTGATTCCTTTGATTTTATCGTTATTTAAAAAGTACTTTCTCTGATTACACTAAACTCACACTAAACACACCATACAAAATAATATCTCAATATCCACCATTCTTCAGGAATCATTCATATTCATATTATATTCAAAAACTCACCCAATACTCGATACTTTCGAAACTCTCGATACTAAATAACTAAAATAATAGTAATAATATATTGTCCAGTGCAAAAATATAGATACACGAAAATCACTACACAAATTTCACCAATTATAAAAATTCTGCAAATCGAATGGTACAAAAATTTTGAATTATAAAAAAGGTAAGTATGATTCTCAATTTTAATTTTTTACATTTAATTGGCTATTTTTTTTTCTCATGGTCAATGCAAATCAAGAGAAAGGTTCATTAACTAGCAGAGAATGACAGATGATTTTTAGCACTCACCAATATTTTTTGGATGCTAGAAAACATCCAGACCATTTTCAAGGCATGAAACTACGCAAGCAAGTTGCTGCAGTTCTTAGTGTAGGAGAGGCTACAGTTGCACGAGTAGTTGCTGAATATAAAAAAAATGATGAGAATTTATCAACACATAAAAAACTTGGCTGGCCTAAAGAAAAACCCAATTCTAATATTGCAGAAGTTATACATAGCTTAGTTTTATCAGAAAACACTTCCGGTTCCCCACTTTCAATACCTATATTACATCAAAAACTTACTGAAAAAGATTTTCATCTTTCAAAATGACAGTTACTTCGTATATTGCATAGTCTGGCCGTGGTGAGCATCGAAATATTTTACATGAATCCCTTGCAAATGTAGCTTTTCGAAACAATTATTTAAGAAAACATTTTGGAAATTTGCAAGGCAAAAATAATGTTTGCAACAGATCTGAAATTTTTTTGGATGAATCATATTGTCATTTACATCACACTTCAAATCGTACATGGGTGCCACATCATGGGATTGTCTCTTCGCCAGGGCATGGACCTTTGATTATTATATTTGGAGCTATTGCTGTAATGCGAAATGGTAACACTAATAAAATTTATGGTGAAATTGTACCTAATTCTATCTTATTATGGGATCCATCAATTAAACTACCTTCTTCAAGAGGAAGAAAACAAACAAATGCAGATGCTTGGGAAGAGATTCATGAAATTATTCGCAATTATAATATTGTAGCCAATCATAATGAAGACCTTTTTATTTAACAAGCTTTGTTCCAATGTTTATGAACAATATGGATCAGCTGATATTCACATGGATGGGGCTCGGTATCACAAACGTCGAATTGAACAAGTGCCATCATCAAACTCAAGAAAAGATGCATTAATCTCATAGTTAATGTCAAAGAATATAAATATTCCAGAAGGTTCCAGTAAAGCAGAACTATATGAATTAATAAAACAAAATAAATTAAATGTGCCTTTTGCATGTAATCAAATAGCTGAAAGGTATAATCATAACTTATTCTATACTCCTCTATACCACTGTGAACTTCAACCCATTGAAGGAATTTAGGCAATTGTAAAAGGAGAAGTTACCAGAACAGGTCCTCATCCTAATCTTCTTTCTATTAGAGACAAATTATTGTATGCATTTAATGAAAAGGTTATTTCTAAAACTATTGTTGGATTTTGGAGAAAATCACTTGGCAAGGCAGAAGAATATAGGGATTTAGGTGATGATGTGATTTTGGATATTAGTGATGATGAAAATTCCGATATTGAAGAAATTGATGTATAGTAAATTTTTTTTTGTAAAAAAAAAAATCTTAATAAAAATAATATAAAAATAAATCTTAAAATATAAATAAACAAAATAAAATTTCAAGTGCATATATTAATTTTATTAAAAAAAATTTTGTATATTAGCATATTGGTGTATCTATATTTTTGCACTGGACAATATTATTATTACATCAACTTAAAAAAAATAATACATTCCTCCTGATGTGATCGAAGAAATTTTACAATATTTAGAAGACGATATTTCATCACTTCGCACTTGTCTTTTAAAGATAGACTTTGGTATGTATTAACCATTCCTTATTTATGGTGTAACCATTGACTCGATTAATACTATAATAAATAACAATAATCAGTATAATAATAATCATATTTAAAGAACAAATAAAAATCGAGGAATTTCGATCATTACTATAGGTGCAGACTTGTGAACGCAAGTCACATAATGACTATGACGTGAAATTATGACGCAAGTATGTGAAGGCATAAGTCTGCACCTATGATCATAAAACAAATCAAAAATAGTTTGATGAAGATGAAAAAAGGATATAATATTTGAGGAATCAAATAATAATAAAAAAGGTGACCACGAATTTTGATTATTCGAGATTTATTATTAACGAATTAAATTACGAAAAGATTTTAATCCACGATCAAATTTTGATAAATTTGAATTTGAATATTGTAATATATTTCCATTTATTACTTCCCTTCATTCTTCCTTTTATTGATCTTCTTCCATCACATCCTTTTCCCTACTTTCCACCACTTTCTTCATTTTTTGACTCTTAAAGAATTACTTATTATTGTAATTATTCACATAACCTTGATAATCTAAATATAAATAATGAAATTATTGAGTTCAACAAATAAATGAATTTTTCTTGAAGATGATGATAATGGTATTAGTATTAGTATTAATAGTGAATCAATTCAATTTTATTATCAAATGACGAAGCTACGATGATGATTCATCATGTTTACTGATGAAATTTTTTTCAGTGAAATGATAATAGAAACATTTAAACATTTAGAACGAGTCGAGAATCTGAAAGTTTAAGATATTTGAAAATTAAAGAAATATCTTTATTTAATTTTGAATTCTTGGAAATTTTATCCATTTGTAATAATAATTTAGAAACATTTGAATTATTTCTCAAAATAATAATATTAATGATATTAATTTTTTTAATTATAATAATAATGTTAATAATATCAATCTTATAAACAACATTAATAATCGTAATAATCATAAAAATCATAATATTGATAATCACTATTAACTTAGAATTTCCTTTATCCAACATAAAATTCGCATTCACATTTCCTCAACTTCTTGCAATAATTAATTACACATTCGACTTCTTCTCTTCTAATTTAAATTTCTAATTTAAATCATCATAATCATCATAATAGCCATCATAATCATAACCATTATCATCATCATAATCATCGTCATAATTCATTACCCTCTATTACAAATTTACAACAACAGCAACAACATTTTACTTTACCTGCCATAACCCCGTTATTACAATTAACCAATCATTCTTTAATTTCATTTACCCTTCTTGTTCAAGATATACCAATTAACAGTTCTAATGAAATTTATAATACTTTAACTGACCTTTGTCCCAATTTAACTCAATTAATTTTATTTTTATCTCATTCCTCTACCACGATTTCTTCCTCTTTTCAAAATAATTCTCCTTTACTTGTTTTATTATCATCTTTAAAAAATTGGTTAATCTCTCAATTTTAACTCAAACATAACCATAACGTGATTAACACTTGTCACATGAATAGTCTCATGAATAATCATAACATAATCATCATCATTCACATTTATGTCAACCACATCAAATATTCAAGAACCTTCCGAAATCACTTCCCAAATAATTAAAGCAATTTACTTTCGATTTCTTTATGAATTTAAAAAATTTTAAAATATTTTTTGAACGTTGTCAATGTGATCGATTGAACATGATCGAAATGTTAAATAAAAATATGATTCGTGATTAATATTTAGTTTAATAAATTTTCGGAAGATCGCAATGGATATTAGAATTAAGGTTTAGAGGAGGAGGGGGAAGTGGTGGTGATGTTGGTAGTGGTGGAAATAGTAGTGGACGTAATAATAATAATTATAGTAATAATAATAATAATAATAATAATAATAATAGTAATAATTATAGTAATAATAATAATAGTAATAGTAATAATAGTAATAGTAATAATAGTGCTAGTAGAAGTAATTGTAGTGGTGGGAATTATTATAATTATATGAATAATAATAATAAATAGTTTTCAAAAATTGGGATAGAAAAAGTTAAAAAAATATTCGTGTAATAAATATTTGATTAATTTTTTTTTTTTTGAGAAATAAGAGATGTTTTTTTTTCATTAAAATTTGTCCCTTATCTAATGTAAAGAAGAAAAAAAACATCATTATGAAAAAAATATGATATAAATAAATACTATGTAGATTTATTTCTCTCTTCTCTCCGTACAATACAGTACATTACTTAGATTTATATGAATTAGATTTTATAAGAATTTAATTAAAATTAAATTGCATATTTAATAATTAAATTAATATGTAGAAATAAGAAAAAAAAATTAAGATTTCACGTTTAATAAATTTATATATAATAAATATACAAAATGTAGAATTTAATGAATTTACAATAGGTAGTCAAAAGTCAATGGACAGTTGAAACTTTTTAAAAAAATTACTAAATTTAAAATGTAAATTAACAAAAAATGATAAATTTAATCTTTAATCGTTTCCGTACCGGAATAGATGGATTTTAAAGATAGATGCCAACTATTTATATGGAATGGTAGCCAGAAACAAAATCTATAATTTTAATTAGTAGCATTTTTCATAATATTTATTGAAAATTTGGGCTTTACTTAGACGTGAATAAAAACGACCAAAATTTATTAAAAATTTAAAAAAAATACGAAAATAATTATCAATTATTGCTACATATAAAAATTTTTTATTTACTAAAATAGTAACAAAATCAATACTAAGTAACATTATAGCCAAGAATGCATAGCATCATTTCTGTCGCATTTAGAAACATTCAATTATGATTAAGTGAATAATGAACGACTAAATAACAGAAAATAATTTTTAAATGTCCGATGTTCAATCATTGATATTAAATTTAATTTGCAAGAATAAATTCTAAAAACTTCATAAAAGATGTTCCATGTTCTTGGCTATAAGAATTGCTAGTACTACATTTGGTGTTTTATTTATAAATTACGAACTTTTATATGTAGCAACTTTTGATAATTATTTTCGGATTTTTAAAAAAAATATCAATGATAAAATGATCGATAGTGATATTAATTAAAAAATCTGAAAATGACTATCAAAATTTGCTACATATAAAAGTTCATAATATATTATCAAAACAGCAAATGTGTTATTAATTAATTTTATAGCTAAGAATATGGAGCATCGTTTATAAAGTTTTTAGAAGTTTTTCTTACGAATTAAATTTAATATAAACGACTAAACATTGGACGTTTATAAATTATTCTCCGGAATTTAATCGCTCATTATTCACTCACTTTTTATTAAAAAGATCTGAATTCTTTACACGAGATGCAAAATATTCTTAGCTTTAATGTTACTTAGTATTATATTTATTAGTATTTTAGTGAATAAAAAACTTTATTGTTCAGACTTTTTTATTCTAACCAATTACAATAAAATATGCAGTTAACATTCCATTATATGGCTTTAAATGAAAATAAAAAATATGTAGTTAAAATTCCATTATATGGCTTAAATAAAATAAAAAATATGCAGTCAAAATGAAATTGTAACATTATACAGAATATTATAATACATTGTAAAAAATTATATTCTACAATGATAAATTATATTATTGCTTACAAATAATATAACTTATGATTATTTAAATTTCAATAATTTATTAATTTTTAATTTAAATTTACTAGTTGAATTATACCTCACTTTTATTTTTAAAAAATAATTTATAAAAATGACTATCAACACAAAGAACTTTCTGAATTTCAACATGATGAAATAATAGGTGCATGGAAATTTAATTTTTCTGTAAGAGAAATAAGTGAGGTACTGGATTATCCAAAAAGTACAATACAGGATATTATCAAAGCTTACAAAAATGATGGATTAGAGAAAATTCCTTCTTGAAGTGGTTAACCACCTATTATAACTAAAAGAGATAATATGCAATTAATATGAGTTTTAAATAGAAATCATAGGACTACTATTAAAGAACTATGTGAAGATTTTATTTCATCTATCTCAACAAATGTAAGTTCAGTTACTCTTAGAAAACATCTTAATAAAAATAACATTTATGGAAGAATTGGAGCTAAAAAAACCTTTTGTTAATGCTGCAAATAAAATAAAAAGGTTAAATTGGACCAAAATAAGAAAAAATTGGATGAATGAATGGGATAATATTATTTGGAGTGATGAATCAATATTTGAGGTATTTGGAGAAGATGGAAGAAAACATGTTTGGAGAAATTCTCAAGAAAAATATGATCCAAAATATCTTTTTCCAACTTTTAAATCAGGACAAGAAAGTGTAATGGTTTGGGGTTGTTTTACAAAAAATAAGCTTGGACCATTAATTAGATTAGAAGATAGAATAACAGAAAAATTTATATATAAATGTTAGAAAAAATTTAATTCCATTTATAAATAGTTTAGAAATATTTTTCAAGAAGATAATGTCCCAATTCATACTGCAAAGATAGTAAAAAAATGGAAGGAAAATAATAATATTACAAGCCTTCTATGGCCTGCACAAAGTCCAGATTTAAATCCTATAGAAAATTTCATGAAATGAATTAAAAAGAAAAGTCAGGTCACATAAACCATTACCTAAAAATAAAGATGATTTATGGCAAATTTTATAGGAAGAATGGGTTAAACTTGAAAAAGATAAATATAATAATCTTATTAATATTATGCCAAATTGTATTGCTGCTGTTATTGAAAATAAAGGTTATTCCACAAAATATTAATAAATAAATTAATCTATCAAATTGAATTAAAAATTTGAAATAATTATTAAAAGTTACTACATATAAAAGTTTTTATTTACTAAAATATTGACAAATATAATACTAAGTAATATTAAAGCTAAGAATATTTTGCATCTTGTGTAAAGAATTGAGATTTTTTTAATAAAAAGTGAGTGAATAATGAGCAATTAAATTCCAGAAAATAATTTTTAAATGTCAGATATTTAGTCATTGATATTAAATTAAATTCATAAGAAAAAATCCTAAAAACCTCATAAACGATGCTCCATATTCTTAGCTATAAGATTAATTAGTGACACATTTGTTGTTTTTTAAATATGTTATGAACTTTTATATGTAGTTTTTTTCAGAATTTTTAATTAATATCATTGTTGATCATTTTATCATTGATATTTTTTAAAAAATCAGAAAATAATTTATAAAAGTTTGTAATTTATTAATAAAACACCAAATGAAGTACTAATAATTCTTATAGCCAAGAACATGGATATCTTTTATGAAGTTTTTAGGATTTATTCTTGCAAATTAAATTTAATATCAATAGTTGAACATCAGATGTTTAAAAATTATTCATTATTACTCAATTTTAATTAAATATTTCTAAATACTTCAGAAAAGATGCTACATATTCTTAGCTATAATGTTGCTTAGTATTAATTTTATTACTATTTTATTTTTTTTTTTTAACCATCGAAGTCTTGTTAAACACTTTATTAAATAAAACAATTGTTAAATTTACATGTTGTGTTCTAACTATTTACTCTAAACTAAACTATTACTAATTTAATCTAGATGACGAGTTGACCCATTAACATTCACAAAGTGGAAATTGACAGTCTGAACTCCATCAGTTAATGTAATTATAGTAATATTTATAAAATAGAATATTCCTATGCATAGTTAGTAAATTGTATGAAGTTATTGCATGCTTGAGAGATGAGTTATATAGGTGTTTATATGATTTATATCTATTGTTTTTGTTACTTCTTATTTTGATTTCATTTGACTCTTGAGGGAGTTAAGTAATTGTATCTCTTTTTTATTTTCTCATTATGTTTTGACTTTTCTCTCATTCTAGGATCTTTTGAATTCAATGATATCAGGTTTGTTCCAGTTTGGTTTGGATAAATGTTTGTATGTTAGTGTTAATTATTTTTGCTGCTGTTTTAGATCTCATAATCATTTTTATTTTTTCAGTAGTGATTTGTATATATATTCTTTTATTATGTCCAGGAAGCCATGGTAGTTGTATCTAATGAAAAGGCTAGTTCTTGGATCAGGGTTTATTCTATTGAGTCGAGTGTTATGTGTCTGTGTTCTTTTTTCCTTTTGTTTTTATTTATTTTGGTGTCTGGTGTTCTTTTTTCTTTTTGTTTTTATTTGTTTTGCTACAAACTGTATAGTCTCTTTTTGTATAGTGTTAAATGTGTATATTTTCTCTAATGCTGAGCAGATAAACACATATATATTTGTTTCTTTTTCTTGGTTACAAAATGGACAATTGTTTGAGGCATAAATTTGTGGATGGCATTGATGGAGTCTGTCTAGTGTTGGGAGTTCATTGTTTTGTAATTGGTGTTTAAATGAGCATTGTTAAGTATCTTCGAAAGAATTAGGGTTTTGATATAAAGTAGATAGGTGGTTTGTTTTTTGTATAAGGTGCCAATTTATATTGTGTGATTTCCTTTCTGAGATTGAGTTTGATGTGCAATTTTGCATTCTCCATTTGTGAAAGGCTGCTGTATGGTTAATTGTTTGAATGTTTTTTTTGATAGGTTCCTCTATAATTTTGTTTTTGAATGTTGGGATAGCTAAAATGTTAATATATTCACGATTAATTCTCAGCTTGTCAAAATTTAGCCAATTGTATTCTGTTATCTTGACTAGATTCTCTACTATATTATTGTTTATATTGGTCTTTATTACTATTTTAGTAAATAAAAACTTTTATATGTAGAAATCATTGACAATTATTTTCGTATTTTTTTTATTTTTTTAAAATTTTTAAATTTCGGTCGTTTTTATTCACGTCTAAGTAAAGCTTAAATTTTCAATAAATACTATGAAAAACACTATTAATTAAAATTATAGATATTGTTTCTGGCTACAATTCCATATAAAATAGTTGGCATCTATCTTTAAAACCCATCGATTCCGGTACGGACAACTATTAAAGATTAAATTTATCGTTTTTTGTTAATTTTATTTGAGTGTAAAAAATATATCATATGATAGCCCTGTTTTAGGGGAATCTAATAAAAAAAAGTTTGTAAAATTTAGATCACTCATTGTGGCACAATTTGCATTTTAAATTTTTTTAAAAAATTTTCAACTGTCTGGTGACTTTTGACCACCCACTGTAGGTCCATATGTATAAAGAGCCAAGTTTAATGCTTATGTAATAAATTTCCAACTTTTCACCACAGATTTTTATTATTGTTGTTTCGGAATAATGTTCGTTTCTGATATGCACAGTAAAGGCCACAAGTTCATGTTGCTCAAGAATAAACAAATATTCAGTTTTGTGTTTAAAAAAAAAGTACTAAAATAAATCACAGCATTATCATGCAAATTAAAGATCTTAATATTAAAGCGATAGGAACAGATTATCGCTGTCGTAATATGAAAGTTGATTTTTTATTTCACTCTCGGCGGTGAATTATAGTATTCCAAATGTAAGAGAAAGTGAAAGAATTGAATGGGTAATGGAATTTATAATACTTTAACTTAAACTTTATTTTTTTACATCCGGGATTTTTTTTTGTGCGTAAATCTCCGGGATTTACGTATAATTACGTGCTTATAAAAAAATCTCCGGATGTATTTCCTATCTCCCAACAATAATATTAATAATTTTTACACAGAACCTCTCGAAATCACTCCCTAATCATTAAAACGAATTTAAAAGATTTTAAATTATTTAATGTACATTGTCAATGGTGCCAATAAGGAATTTATCAGGCTTTAGTAATGCCCTCATATATTTTATTATTTCAAAAAAAAAAAGAAAGAAACTATGCTTTATAAAAATGAGATTACAATATGCAATATTGTATATAATTGTGTGCTCGAGAATATTTAATGTAATTTCCAATAATTAATAATAGATAAGAGAAAATAAAACATGGTGAAAAATTCGCAGTTTTTGCTATACATCGAATTAACTTCCTAAGATCAACTTTGCCAAACCAAGAATTACATATTTGTCTTCCAAACAACCCATACACATATCGTAGTCACATTGGTTACATTTTAAACTCATACCTCCTCTATACAACTTTCGATCTTCATCGCATACCCATTTTCCGGTATATTTTACACAACGTAAAGGATGACTTTTTGGGCAGTAACCAAGAGGTTTACATTTAACGCCAGACTCGCAATGGCTAGGACATGCATCAAAATTGCAACTGGTGCAATGATGTTTGGATGTCTATGCAAATAAAATATAAATATGAAAAAACGTAAATGTTACAATAGAGGTTTTATTTAATCATAATAATAATAATAATAATAAAAATAGGCCTACCGGTGATTGACCTTCTTTCCCACAGATGTCACAATACCAATCACGTGAATATGCTTCTTTTAAATCATGTCCTGCGAAACATTTTGGTGGTGGAGGTCCGCGAATTCTGTCATTCATGGAATATGAAATATCAATCAACAGAGCATAATCGATAGCAACGTTGCTGAGTCGCCTATGTTGTTGAACTTCTGCCCATGTAGCAGAAACATTATTGACGGCAAGACTATTTACGGAAAGGGAAAGGGAATTGGTAACTTTGAGCGCGAGAGTCATGAATACAAATTCGAGTAGGTAAAAATCTTTGACTGGAACATATGTGAAATTGCCTTTTTTGGCCATCTAATTTTATTTGTAGAGAGAATGTTTAGTTAGATACACCTTTTATTTCATTATAATAGATTCTAAAAATTGCCTACAATTTCCATGTTATCCGATTTTACATCGTCTCCAACTCCGACAAGAAACAAATAGTTACTACTCTCTCTAGTAAATTTGCTGTAGATTTCCTCGGCACACTTATAAAGACTTCTTGTACTGGAAATATCATTACCATCAGTCACAACGATCATGACCCAAGGGCGAGTTACATCCCCTTTGCGACGGAAGGTTCCAGTTATAAGATCGTACATACTGTCATAGAGGCAAGTTCCACCTGAAGCGATATTTCTTAATGCTTCTAGGGAACGATGAAGGGAACTTTCATTTTCAGTGAAACTCTTTAAAGTAGAAATGCATGATAAAAAAGAATACAGTCATTTCAGAATAACATATAAAGTATAAGTTAGAAAAACTGTCGAAGGAATAAACATCTCTTTACCTGTCTAATCACCATAGAGTTATTAAATGTTGCAATACACCCACGATCCAATCCATCACGATGTAAATTAGTTACAAGCTCTTTGCTGGCTTTAATAGCACAACTCAATTTAGTTTCCATTTTTTTTAAAAGATGTGTTTGTTCGATTTTTATTTTTTTTAAAAAAAAATCAAAATCCTTACTTTTATAATTGAATTCTACGGAATGTAGATCACACGATTTTAGCACAGATTTATTTTTGATGCTTCTAGAGTTTAAAAATTTCTATTTTCAAAACAAAATTTGGCAAAACACCAACCAAGATTGTTAATATGTACGTCTTTATACATATTAGGAAGTAGATATGGTATTCGGATTAAATTTTTGTACATCTGAATAAATTTAGAAATTATAGAAACAAAAGCCATGCTGTGGTTAAATCTTTGTTTTCTTGCACTCAGATACCTGTGTTTGGGGTTTAATGTTAAGACTTACAGAAAATTAATTTTTATCACATTTATAACTGTAATTGTGACCTTGGTACTATTTTAGTGTTGCGAAAAAATTTTTTGAGTTAAATTTGTCTATTGTTTTACCATGTGGGTTTTATTTGCATTATTGATTGTATTTGATTTTTTATTACAAATTATTACTTGCTTAAATTCAGATTTATCCAGTGAATGACATTTGAAACAACTGTGATGGTAGGAGTAGAAACTTTCTTTATGAAAATTGAACACATCTTTGTACAAATATATATATATATATATATATATTTGAAAATTGCATGTGCCAAGTGATTTTAATAATAGAGTTTCCTTCCTAAGTTTTGAAATTTATATTCAAAACATACATTTGATTAAAATGAAATGGAACAAACACAAACCAGAATAGTAATTAAGGACCTCATATGCGTCTTTTGTACATATCAGGAAATAGATATGTGCTCGGATAAAATATTTGTCAATGATCTAATTTTCGGAATTTTTATCCAATCACATTGAAGATCTAAATGTTTGTTATTTTGAAGAATCAATTAAACGTCTTAAATATCTAAATACTTTATTATAATGACTACCTTTTGGTACCTAAATAAAAGTGTTCAACTCAGGTTTTTACATATATTTATTTTTTTTTTTTGCAATAATTGTTAAGTTATGTAGAATATTCGCCAAAACTCTTAATAAATAAGTGTCACCTGACCTCAAAACCCATGAGTCCTAACCCCACCCTGCGAAAACTTTACTTTTCTAATGCTAAATATTATTGTTTTGTCTTGTTTTTGTTTATTATTATTATAATTTTATTAGTAAAAAACAACTTTACTTAGTTGCTTAAGATATGTTGTCTATATGTTTTATTAACTTTGCTTAGAAGAAAAGTGTGCAACAGATTATTGGTCAATTCTTTAAATTGGCCGATATGATTTTGCGGTTATATCTTTTTTTACCATCTGTTACTCTATATTCCGGATCCTAAGGTGAACAAGAAAATGTGAATGCCTTCGCATCTAAATATGGGGGTAGGCTAAAGCGGAGTAGAATCATGTGAGGTGATTTCGGGTTAAGGCGGAAGTGTGATCGTATCACATG